TTTTTTTTTTTTTTTTTTTTAAAGAAAGTAAATGAAGAAACCTTAAGACCTTTAGAGAAAAGCAGAAAGTCCAGGGCTTTTGTAAAGGTGTGCTTTCCCTGCAGAGCCCAACTTAGCTTCTCCTTTAGAGGAGCCCCTACTGCTCTTAGCTCCTGGGCTGCATGGTGTAAAGCAGGCTGGGGCCACATAGTGTGGGGCTCTCAGCTCCTCACCTACTGCCTACAAGGGCTCACCAAACTCTTGAGGGGGGTCATGGGTCTCAACTGCACAGGGACACAGCAGCCCACCGTGGTAATGGCTCTACTGCTGCCACCGGTTTCTCCAGTCACTGCCCGGAATGTGCAAGTGGCTTTGGCAACTCTATCCTCCGATGAATACGTCACCTGAGCATGCTCCAGTCAGTCAAGACAGCTCCTTCTGGATGAATAAGCTGCCTCATAGACAGGGGTGGTGGGCATCAGAAGACCCAAGCTGAGGTTTCCGAATCCCAGTGTCTGCTGCTCCTGGGCAGGTGGACTGGCCTAGCCTGAGAAGAATCCTCTTTAGCCCACTGCTGGGCCACAAGTCCAACTCACGGCCAGCCCAGCTCTCTGATCTCCAGGTCAGTAGAGCTGCTACCACTGTCCTGAGAGCCATCTGGAGCTCCAGGGAAAGGGGAGGGCCAGCAGCACCCAGTCACAAATCAGCAGGAGGGCCGACCACGCTTTCCATTTCCATCTGCCACCAGCCCAGTGAACTCCACCAGAGCTGCCCCACTCAGCCTGCGGGTCTCCCCTACATGTCCTGGTGGTTTCCCCAGCCCAAATAAGACCTCCCTGCTCAGGGAGATGGTCTCAGCTACAAGAAAGAGAGCAGCAGGACTTGTAAAGTCACCCTGGGGCCCGGGTCACATCCGTGTGTACCCTACCCACCTCCTCAGGCTATTTTATTGCTTATCTAAACAATTCAGCAGGGAGCAATTCTAATGTGTGAGAAAATCCTTCTAGAGGGGGAAGTTCTCTTAGTGGTTCTCAAAGCAGGTAAGGGGGCAGCAAAGCCTCCCCCTCCTTCAAAGGGATTTAGAAATGCCAAAGACCAGGGATTCAGACCATCTTGCCATGCATGGGGCAAATGAAATGTCCACTGGCCCCACTGAGAAACTCAGTAAGAGAGGAGAGGTCCATGGCTCTGGTCCCTTCCTTAGCAGGAACAGGGGGAGGCAGACCTGGGCAGAACTCCTCTAAGGCCAAGGCTCAGCCACTTTGAGCCCACTCCTTCCCTCACGGGCCTGTGTGATTTCTTTTTCAATTGTCTAAACCCAACAGAGGATCCCACCCTAGATCCCAAGCCCTGGGCAGCCCCTATACCAGGGACAGTCAGTGGTCCTAGAATCCCTAGGCCACAGGCCTCACTCCTGGAAAGGAAGGGTGATCTCAGTGTCAGAGGCCCCCAGGGGCAGAGCACCATGGATGGGCTGCTGGGAGGGGGGGGGGCCTCAGACCAGCTCCTGCTGCTTCCACTGCCACCCTCCTGACCCCAGGGCCACCTGAGCCAATCCACGAGTCTGTCCACAAAGCCTGATAACGACCCAGTGCACCAGGACGGTGGACTGTCCAACAGGGGATTGATGGGAGATGTGATGAAAACACTAAATTCTGTTTATACGTTTAAATGAACAAATATTTATTAAGCACCTACTTTGTGCCAGGCACTGTGCTAGGCACCCTCGCTGCATGCTGTCCCCACAGCACAGTAACCTGCTCAGAAATTAAAACCAAGAAAAGGAACATTGTCGCAACCCTACAAACTGGGGGCAGGTGGAAGTGGGCGGAGTGGATGCAGGCGATTCCCCTGCCAGAAAACGCCTCCACCAGAAGTGTGTTTTCTCTCTTGGGACAAGTCTCTACTAAGTGGTTGCTTTAAAGCATCTCTGTATATACTGAGAGGAAAACTGCTATCACCACGCCCCACGCATTGGTGCCTGGTGAACATTCGAATACTCTGGACGCTACTCAAAAAAAAAGGAGTTGGAAAGGGTATTCATCCTTGAATTAGAAAATACTTTTCCAGTTCATATGGTTGCAACAGCCCTTAAGAAAGTTATAAACATCCCTGCCCTGACTGCGTAAACGTTTAAGGTAGACCTAGTTCTGGATTCCTGAGTCAGAATCGTCCAGTGGTCCATGACCTCGCAAGGCCAGAGGAGCAAGGGGAGGTTTCTATTCTGGAGAGAAGAGAGTGGACGGCACCCCTGGCTTGGAAACATGACAAACCGCGCCTGGATTTACAGAAGCCGCGCGAACAGGAGGACGTCCTAGTGCTACTCTGTGTCACACACACCCTGGGGACTCACGCACAGCCCTAGTTGTCGGCGCCCAGCTTGGAGAGGCCCCGGCGGAAGTTGTGCAGGTCATCGATCTTCCCGTCCAGCACCTCCAAGAAGCTCTTCAGCTCCACCTTCAGGTGGCGCTGGCGGTACTTGCTCTCCTCCATGTCCGTTTTCAGGGAGCGCACTTTGTCTTCCAGGCTCTGATTGTCTTTCTCTGCCGCCTGAAGCAAAGCGAGAGAGAAAGAAGGGTCTGGGGACAGAGCGGGAGGAGCCCCGCTGAGACCTGCGACAGCCAGACTGTCCGTCCCCCTCGGGCGGGCCTGCCTCCCTGGAGGTGTTAAGTGTCCTGCCCCCACCCCCCTGGCATCAGGTGTGTGCCCCTCCTTCCTGCTGTTCTCTGGCAGAGGTGCCAACAGCCAGCATCTCGCCTTCAAACGATGCCCCCACAGAGAACACAGAACTCAGCGCCCTGCCCAAGGGAGCCTGGTGCTAAGTGATGCTTTCACAAAATGCCCAGCAGAGGAAGCCTGAAATCCCAGCACATGGGGTTTTCAGCCCCAAACCCAGGGTGGTCAGCAGAGGCCCCTTTTGGGTTCCATTCTGGGAGAGAGTGAGAAATAGCACAAATGGAAGAGTGATTTGTTTCTCCCAGTTCCACTGAGAAGGCGAGGCCTCCTCGGCCCCAGGCCAGCCTCTGGCCGTCAGCGAGGGAGGAACTGGCCGTGCCAGACACAGGGACAGTGGGTCTGTGCTCTGTCTGTCCTGTGGTGTTGCCATGGAGACGGTGAAGCTCCCAATGGCGGGACCGCTGTGAGTCCAAATAACAGCTTTCATCTTACGGGCATAAAATGAGAATTTGTGAATGGGTGTACGAGAACCAGTTACTAATACCAAGGTTGTGTACCTGAACTTGAAGTGAGGAGAACCTCGGAGGTGAAGGAGGACCTGAAAATGCTCCTTCAGAAATGGAGCAGGTGGATCAGAAATCTGAAGCCTGCAGCAGGGGGGGGGGGGGGGGGGGGGGCGCCAGCAAGCAAAGCTTCATCTGTATTTACAGTCACTCCCCATTGCTCGTGTTACTGCCTGAGCTCCACCTCCTGTCAGATCAGCGCAGGCATTAGAGTCTACTGTGAACTGTGCATGCGAGGGATCTAGCTGGGGAGTGGCTGCAAATACAGGGGGGGCGGCGGCGGCGGCTGGGGGGGCTGTCCAAGGTCATGTCCAAGGTCACTGGCCGGGGAGGTACAATAGCCCCTGGGACTTAGGCTCTCAGACCTCCTTGCCGTCCCCTGCTTCGCACCCTTCTGTGGCTCTGTAGGGACTTCTGTCGGCAGGAAACAGTCACCTACACTACGGTTATGCACAGAACACCTTCGTATAAGTGGAAAAAACAGAAGACAAACACTGCTGAGTCTGCACCCGGGAGCAAAGCTGGCATCTGGCATGTAGTTACGCTAGCTTTTTAGGAATACAAAGTCTCTCTTCTTTACCAAGCCAGGCGTGAAAGGGAGAGGCCTCGGAGAAATGGGTAACACAGTGGATGCCTTCTCATCTGAGCCCAGGTGGATGTGCTCCCTGCCCTTACCTCTAACTTCTCAGAGACGTATTCACACTCTGACATGAGCTGAGGTATGATTTCACTTTGTTTTCGGAGGTCTGTCAACTCCTACAGGAGACAGAAATTGGAAAAAGAATGTGAAAGCAAGTCAGATAAAATGTATTCTTGAAAATCCCCAACTCGTGCATACAATAATGGAAGCAGCTTTTGGAACCTGTGCTGTCTGCGTAAATAGTAATGGCGATGATGTTATACTTAACACACATGAGGTAATTCTAAAGGCTGAGTATGTTCCATGAATTAATGCATGAAGGCTGAACACCACCATGAAAAGAGAAGTATGATTCCTGTTTTGCAGACGGGGAAACCGAGGCTGAGAGAGGATTGGTAACTTGCCCATGGTCTCCACCCTCTGTATACAGTAAGTCCCCTACATATGAACCTTCAAGTTGCGAACTTTCAAAGATGCAAATGTGTGTTCACATGTCCAATCATGTAAGTCAGTTCACGTGTCTGGCATACATTGTCACGTGCGTGCACCCTCTACAAGTGGTTGTGCGTTTGTGTACTTTACTGTGCAGAACTGTATAGAGTAAAGTACTACAGTATCTTTATTTCATGCCCAGGATGTCCAGAAGCAAGCGTAAAAGCAGCAGTGATGCAGCTGGTACTACTGTACTTTTCAAAGTACTGTACTGCAAGGTTAAAAATGTTTTCTTTGGTTTTTGTGTCTGTTTTTTATGTATTATTTGTGTGAAAAGTATGACAAACCTATTACAGTACAGTAGGATACAGCCGATTGTGTTAGTTGCATACCTAGGCTAACTTTGTTGGACTTACGAACAAATTGGACTTATGCAAGTGCACTCTTGGAATGGAACTCGTTCGCGGGTAGGGGACTTGCTGTACTTAGCTGTCCTGTCCCCCAGAAAATAAATGACTGTGTGACAGGGGGGCCTCGCTGCATTAATTTGACAGCAGAACTTCTGATAAAAGACCACCTATGAAAGTTTCCGAGTGCTTTTGTAAATGTTCAGCTCCCTCCTGGATCTGAGTGACTGACTATAGAGTAGGTACAACAAGGAGGCTGCAGAAGGTAATGGCCAGGCCTTTGCTCTGGACTATCTGTGCCTTGGTGTAGCTTTTGGCTCTGTGCTGAGGTCCGGGCAGCTGCCAGGGCCGGTCACATGCCCCACAGCTGCCTGCCGTGTCCTTGGGTGGAGATGACCCGACAAGGCCCAGGGGACGCCAAGCAGCACCGCTCAGAGCCCCACTACCCACCGTCTCCTTTTCTCGGAGTTCCAGCTCCAGCTCCTCAATTCTTCTCTTCAACTGGGTATTCTTCTCCTTCTCTCTGTTTATCTCGCTGCACTGCTCTTCCAGCTCGTCAATCTTTAATTAATATCACATGTGAAAGCAGGGATGCCAGTTTAGTCATTATACAAAAGATCACCACAGCTCTTTTAAAGTAAACCATAAATTAACCCACTTATAAATTTTTCCTTGTGGCTACAAACAAACTCCACGGGGCTCCCCCTGGGCTGTTTGCTCCTGCGGGCATAGGATGCCCTCATTTAATACCAACAAAGCCACAGAAGTCACAAAACCTGGCTTCCGTATGCTCTGGGCCTCTGGTTATCTCTCACAGTCAGAGAACAGTAGCTTTAGGTTTGCTTTAAGGATCTGTCACAAGTCGGGGCCAGACGTCCCATGAATCTATCTGCTCCTTTGCAGAATGACTGTCACATCATTTTAATCATGCCCTGAATGATTCTGTTGCTTGTCAAGGGGTTAAGCAAGCAGGGTAGAGAACTGAGCAACTCTGTGGGACAGTGGCTACCAACTGGGACTCGATGACATTTCAAACGTTTTAAATCAAGATGACCTTTCCCCACTGATGCACGCAGAAGGGGCCTGGCCCGTGGGCCTCTTCCTGGAGAGATGACAAGTGCAGGCTGAGGTACATCCCCAGAGTGCATCTTTCTCTCCTTCCCAAGCCTGACACCTCTGACACTGGGCATTTCCCAGGGGCCAAAGCATGGGTGCAGAGTGGATGGCAGGGGTGTAACCAGCAAGTAACACAAGAGCACCATGTTGATGGGGTTCCCCACAAGCAGGCAGCGGCAGTCCTCAGGGTGCAGGGCACTAGGTGGTCAACATGAGGACAATTCTCAGAGGTGACCTGCACCAGCCCTCAGGATCTGAACCTCCAGCCACAGGAGCTGCCGGAGATCCCACCAATGTCCACATTCCGCCCTGGGAATCAAGTTCCCAGTGCTTCCCACCCGGGGAAGCTGACACTCTGCACGGGGAGTGGGTTCAACTGCACGCATTTCCTCCACGCCCCCACCCACCCACCCCGCACGGCTCTTTGGTTCTTACACTCAGACGCGAAGCGAGAAACTCAGCTCTGCCCTTGGAAAAACAAACAAAGGGCGATCAATCCCTCTGGCAAGCAGATCAGCCCAGCTTCAGAAGGGAAGGTGCAGAGTCAGCACTTGGCCTGTGCCCCTCACCATCAGCACTTTATGAAAAAATGACACGAGGCAGTTTCACGTGCCACCTGCTCCGAAATAAGACGTGAAACAGGGGAGTGGTTTCCAGGGGCTCCACTCAGAACGGGTGGGCGGGTTATAAACGGGGGCAAGGGGAGCGAGTACCAATCTCAATGCGACCCGTACCCTGAAATCCTGCATTTACGGAGCAGACTGTGTTCACCGACTGTGGGATAAAAGTGCTGACCAGCAAAACAGCACAGCAACCCCAGGACCTCACCTGGGAACCCTAAAACAACCGCATCAACTCAGCCCAACTGCAGAGCATGAGCGACTAATTACAGGGAAGGGCGTGGGTGAATTCTGAAAAAAACTGAAAAGCCCCCATGTCAGGGCAGGAGGGTAGAAGGCACACGAGGGCCGTCCGCATCCGCCCACCTCACACGTCAAGGGCCGTATTCCTTTCCTTGCTGCCTATCTCACATTTTTAGAAAGAGCAGTTTGCAGGGAAGCAGCGTTTCTGAGCAATCACGCCTCACCATCTCCTGAATCTATTTTCTTCACTCACCCTCTGGATCCCTTTTCTCTACCGAAGATCACGGAACCACAGAAAATGCCAGAGGGAGGCCACCCACGAAAGGCCAACCCACAGCTCGCATCTGAGGGTGATCTTTGTGAGAGACAAAGCTGCAATCTCCCATTGATTTCTCTTCTCCTTTGCGATTGCAATTTTGAAACTTGGTTCAGGAAAGGTAGTCAGTTCTGTACGTAGTAGTAGCGTTCCCACTAAGGCAGGCAGGGAGGCGGAGGGGAGGACAAAGGGAGTAGCAGCGGGTCTTCCTCCTGCCCCTGGGACATGGGACCGAGGGCCAAGTGGGAGGCAGTGGGGAGAGGAAGGTCACGGCCACCCCCGCCCTCCGCACCTTGTTCCGGAGCCGGTCATTCTCGTCGTGGCAGAGGGAGAACTGCCTCTTCCACTGCTCCACGCTGGCCACCGAGTCCTGTAGTGCCGTGGTCAGCCGGGCGTTGCTCTCCCGCAGGGTCTGCAGCTCGATCTCCCATTTCTTCACGTTGGCGGCGCTGCAGGGCGGGGGCCAGGCGGTGACCGGGAGGGTGGGCACCATCCACCTGGCTGCCCTGCAGAGGGGGCACCCGGCCACCCCCTCAGCCCATGCCTCGGGGCCACACCCTCTCCCGCCGGTGGCCTGACAGCGAGAACCACGTGCTGAGCGGGCCTGGCACCTCTCTTTAGTGGGAACATGCTGCCTTGTTTGGTGATTTTCTCAAGGCATCACTTTAGAAGAGAACAGAATTCTCAGAGAAGGAAGAGATGTAACTTAGAATGAACTCAGCCATAAAAAAGAATGAAATCATGCCATTTGCAGCAACATGGATGCAACAAGAGATTATCATACTAAGTGAAGTAAGTCAGACAGAGACAAATGCCATATGATATCACTCTTATGTGGAGTCTAAAATATGACACAAATGAACTTATCTATGAAGCAAAAACAGGCTCACAAACATAAGAGAACAGCCTTGTGGCTGCCAAGGGGGAAGGGGCTGAGGGAGAGATGGATTGGTAGTTTGGGGTTAGTAGATGCAAGCTATTATATACAGAATGGATAAACAACAAGGTCCTACTGTATAGCACATGAAACTATATTCAACGTCCTGGGATAAACCATAATGGAAAAGAATACAAAAAAGAATTATATATGTATATATATATATGTATAACTGAGTCACTTTGCTGTACAGCAGAAATTAATGCAACATTGTGAATCAACTCTACTGCAATTTAAAAAAAAAAAGAAACTAAGAATGAAGCCACAGACTGTGGTAGAGACCCCTCCCCCGTCTGCTCCCTACTGACCCCTGGCCGCAGGACTGTTCTCTCCTGCCCCATGTCCACTCCTTCCTGAAATGAGCCTCAGGGATGTAGGTTCTGAAGTGCTGGGGTGGACCCCGGGCCCTCTGACACTCTCATGAAAGCTGCGGACACTTTCAACAAGCTCCTGACACCCCCTCTCTGGAGCCCAACAACCCCAGGTTTAAACAAACAGCCTGGGTCCAGATTTGAGAGCTGAGGACTTGAGGACAGAGGAGACAGGGGCTGGGAGTCCCCTGAGGGCAGAACTGGGGTTCCAACCGCAGGATGTGTGAGGGGGCCCTGGCCGACCCTAGGTCACCTCAGGTCCGAGGGACGCCTCCACGTTATCACCAAACCACATGATAATCCTCTGTGATCAGTGAAGTTTGAAAAAACAAACTGGAATCAGTTGCCCTCAGTTGCCGCTCCCATTCAACGCTTCTTTTGTTTCCTGTTTTGGAGACCAGTGTTCACTGCAGCACTATTTACAATAGCCAGGACATGGAAGCAACCTCATGTCCATCAACAGAGGAGTGGATAAAGAAGATGTGGTACATACAGACAATGGAATATTAGCCATTAAAAGGAACAAAACTGGATCATTTGTAGAGACGAGGATGGACCTTGAGACTGTCATACAGAGTGAAATAAGAACGAGACAAACAAATATCACATAATATCGCTTATATGTGGAATCTAGAAAAATGGTAGAGATGAACTTATTTGCAAAGCAGAAATAGAGACACAGACATAGAGAACAAACGTATGGTTATCAAGGGGGTGAGGGTGGCGGGGTGGGATGAATTGGGAGGTTGGGACTGACACATATACACTACTATGTATAAAATAGATAACTAATGAAAACCTGCTGTATAGCACAGGGAACACTACTCAATGCTGTATGGTGACCTAAATGGGAAGGAAATCCAAAAAAGAGGAGATATATGTACAGTTGATTCACTTTGCTATACAGCAGAAACTAACACAACATTGTAAAGCAACTAAACTCCAATAAAAATTAATTAACCAAAAAAAAAACACCTCAGACTTAGCCACTCTGAAAAAAAAAAAAGAAAGTTTTTGGCTTCTAATCAATACTGCCTGGCTGAGGAGAGTTCTGTCTCTAAAGGCTTCTTTTTTTTTTTTTAATTTTTAAAAAAGTAAATACAACTGTATTTTAATAATCTGCATTATCTTTCATCCACCTCAAGGTCCTAGAACTGTGATTGGAAAATATATACTTTTGATTTCAAATACCACAGATTGAAAACATAGCAAAATAATATTATGTGATTAATTTCAGAGTTAATGATTGAGCTGATTTCGGGAAATGGCTTCACACCCATTCCTGTAATTCACTCGTCCATTCAACTGGGATTTAAAAACATTTATTTTTAGGGGTGGAATGTTTTCATCCAGGCAGCCCACTGTGACTCAACCAAAAATAGTCTTCATGATCACCTGATGAGTAAAAGAGGCTGGTCACAGTTTTGTCCTTTGAAGTATCTGACAAAACCCAGGGTCCAAAGAAGGTGGCTGAATCTAAGGGTCCTATGTTCTTTCTGGAATTCCTTAATTCCTGTCAGATCACAGGAATTAAGCTCCACGCACTGGTCAGGCTGGCTGGGTTGCAGAGGTGGGTGCCTCTGGGAAGATTTACCAGCCATGTGACCTTGGGCAAGGACTCACTGTACCACCTGGGACTCAGTTTCCTTTCCTGTAAAATGGGGGAATTAATATGACAGAGTTCTTAAACGGGGCAGGTCAGAGGAAAGCAGCTTCTCAGCCACAGAGAGGCTGGGGGAAGCCGGCCGAGTGCCCTGCCAGGTGAGCAGAATGACCCCCAAAGACAGCAGTTCTGAAGGTGCTCATGGGGCCAGCCTTACACCGTGAGACCCAGCCTAGCCTTTGGGAAACAGGCCACAGTCTCAAGATATGAAAACAGAAGCACAGGGCTTCCCTGGTGGCACAGTGGTTGAAAAGTCCACCTGCAGCTGCAGGGGACACGGGTTTGTGCCCAGGTCCAGGAAGATCCCACATGCCGCGGAGTGGCTAGGCCCGTGAGCCATGGCCGCTGAGCCTGCGTGTCCAGAGCCTGTGCTCCGCAATGGGAGGGGCCACAGCAGTGAGAGGCCCGCGTACCGCAACAAACGAACAAACAAACAAAAAACAAGGAAAACACAAGCACAGCTAGTATAGTCATTAAAAGTTAAAATCTTGTTGATATCGTCATGGGGGTTGTGTTAAATTTGTAGATCAATTTAAGGGAAATTGATACTTTTTAAAATATTGAGGCTTCCTACCACTTCCCAATAGACTTTTGCTATTTGTTGAATTATTCACGTACGGCCCTCAAAATCATTTGAGTTTTCTTCACAAAGATCCTGTACATTTCTTAAGTTTATTGCCATGTATTTTATGGTTCTAGTTCATATTGTAAAGGAAATCTCTTCTTCAAATATATAGTCTATGTGATGTTTGTTTGTATATAGAAAAGCTACTGATTTTTGTGAGATTTTATTTTATTTTCAAGATAGTTTCTTAGGTTTTAATATGTTTTTCAGTGTTATCATATATGAATAAATGATAAATTTGGCTTCTCAAAAACCAAAACAGGGACCTCCCTGGTTGTCCAGTGGTTAAGACTCCACACTCCCAATGTAGGGGGCACGGGTTTGACTCTCGGTTGGGGAACTAAGATCCCACATGCCACATGGCACGGGCCACCCCCCAAAGAAAAATGAAATGTAAGCACTGGGACAGGGACTTCCCTGGTGGTCCAGTGGTTAGGACTCCATGCTTCCATTGCAGGGGACCCGGGTTCCATCCTTGGCTGGGGAATTAAGATCTCACAAGTCTCGCGGCATGGCAAAAAAAAAAAAAAAAAAAGCACAGGGACACCTCTCTCTTTCTCACACACACACATAGATGCTCATGTGCACAGAGAACAACCATGAAGGCAGCTGGTCTTCCTCTGGCCAGGAGTCAAGACCGGACGCTCTGAGCAGGACCCAGTCTCCTTTCCCAACTTCCTTAAACCCTGCCCAGTGGGAAAGACTGCAGGGAAGTGCTGATCTGGGAGACAACAGCACCTGGATTTGAACATGCTCACCTCTGTGTCAGAGCGATCTTTAGCTTGTTGTTCTCAGACTTGAGGTGTGTGTTGGCAGGACCCGCACAAGATGCCTTTTCATCGTCCGTTCCGTTGATGCTGGATGCCTGAGTGGAAGATGGGGTTTCACACCCAGATTCCTGGCCAGACTGAATCACTTTCACACCTTATCGCTTGTCCTCACAGCGGAAGCAAATCAGGCATGATGAGGAACTGTGTGGTTATGAGTGTGGGAGAACCAACGCATCCAACCAGAATGCAGCAAAGACTGACAAGTCCACAGACTAGTAACAAGACTATCCGTGGAGACTCCACTTGGAGTCCAGACTGTGCATTTTACCCACAAGACAGCATACAGGACCGTTATGCAGAACCTTTTCACTCAAACTTTACAGGTAAACCTAACAAGCCCGGATACCTGACCTCCTTAAATAACACAGGAAAGAAGCCACAGATTAAAAGAGGGGGAGAGTTTTAGGGACTTCCCTGGCGGTCCAGTGGTTAAGACGCCATGCTTCCAATGCAGGGGGCGCGGGTTCAATCCCTTGTTGGGGAACAAAGATCCCACATGCTGCAGGGCATGGCCAAAAGAAAAAAAAGAAAAAGAAAGGGGGGAGGAGGGTTTTATAATAAGAAACAGTGAATGAGTTAAGAGAAAAAGTATAAGAAGCTGAGATGACTTAAAAATCTCGGGGCGGGCCTCCCTGGTGGCGCAGTGGTTGAGAGTCCGCCTGCCGATGCAGGGGATACGGGTTCGTGCCCCGGTCTGGGAGGATCCCACATGCCGCGTAGCGGCTGGGCCCGTGAGCCGTGGCCGCTGAGCTTGCGCGTCCGGCAACGGGAGAGGCCACGACAGTGAGAGGCCCACATATCGCAAAAAAAAAAAAAAAAAAAAAAAAAAAATCTCGGGGCTACAGAGAGATGAACACACTCATTTGAAAAAAAAAAACCAGGAATCAGATATGGGTGTCTGCGACTCTTTAGCAATGTTATGAATATTCTGAAATGTTTGCTGTAATAAGCCATGCTACAGGGAGGTGAAACCTCATCTGGTCTTGGATAAGATCTTAGAAAGATTTTATTTCACCTCCAAGAAGAATAAAGGCAAAGGAAAGACAAGAAGGGAATGACGTATGACTAAATTTCTACATCGCAAAAAAGTGCCACAAACTATATCAGAATGTAAGCAACAATGTGGGGGAAATATTTTCAATGCATACTAAACACAAAAATGCTAATACTATTCCTATACTAAAAAACTCCTAGAGTCCTCAACTTTTAGAGTGGCGCTCTGAAATATTTATGGATGAAATGATGTCTGGGACTGGCTTTAAAATAAAGACGGAGGGAGAGGGGGGTGTAGATGAAACCATTGGTCATAGAGTCCTAATTGTTAAAGCTGACCTATGGGTCTATGGAGGTTCGCTTACCCAGTTCTGCCTAGTTTTGTATATATTCAAAACTAGCCATGTTAAAAATAAAGTTCTTGGAAATGAACACAAAAAAGCAGAAAGGATATGCAATTGACATTTACAGAAGAAGAAATACATAGAATTAATAAACAAAAAAATTTAATCTCACTAGTAAAGAAATGCAAAATTTAAAAAGCCAATAAAGTATATTTTTCTTCTGTCAAATCAACAAAGCTTTGTTGGGGAGGGAACGGGAGGGAAAAACACTCTCATTCACTGCTGGTGGGAGTCACAATTGTACATTTCTGTAGGGATGTTTGCAGTGTGTGTCAAAAGCTCCCAAAACGCCCTACCGGGCTTCCCTGGTGGCGCAGTGGTTGAGAGTCCACCTGCCGATGCAGGGGACACGGGTTCGTGCCCCGATCCGAGGAGATCCCACATGCCGTGGAGCAGCTAGGCCCGTGAGCCATGGCCGCTGAACTTGTGCGTCCGGAGCCTGTGCTCCGCAACGGGAGAGGCCACAACAGGGAGAGGCCCGCGTACCGCAAAAAAAAAAAAAAAAAAGTCCTACCCCTTGCTGGGAAAACTGGACAGCCACATGTAAAAGAATGAAATTAGAACACTCCCTAACACCATACACAAAAATAAACTCCAAATGGATTAAAGACCTAACTGTAAGACCAGACACTATAATACTCTTAGAGGAAAACATAGGAAGAACACTCTGTGACACAAATCACAGCAAGATCTTTTTTGATCCACCTCCTACAGTAATGGAAATAAAAACAAAAATAAACAAATGGGACCTAAGGAAACTTAAAAGCTTTTGCAAAGCAAAGGAAACTACAAAACAAGACAAAAAGACAACCCTCAGAATGGGAGAAAATATTTGAAAACGAATCAATGGACAAAGGATTAATCTCCAAAATATATAAACAGCTCAGGCAGCTCAATATTAAAAAAACAAACAACCCAATCAAAGAATGTGCAGAAGACCTAAACAGACATTTCTCCAAAGAAGATATATAGATGGCCAAGAAGCACATGAAAAGCTGCTCAACATCGCTAATTATCAGAGAAATGCAAATCAAAATTACAATGAGGTATCACCTCACACCAGTTAGAATGGGCATCAATCAGAAAAGCTACAAACAACAAATGCCGGAGAGGGTGTGGAGAAAAGGGAACCCTCTTGCACTGTTGGTGGGAATGTAAATTGATACAGCCACTATGGAGAACAGTATGGAGGTTCCTTAAAAAAACAAAAATAGAATTACCATATGACCCAGCAATCCCACTACTGGGCATATACCCGGAGAAAACCATAATTCAAAAAGACACATGCAACCCAGTGTTTACTGCAGCACTATTTACAGTAGCCAGGTCATGGAAGCAACCTAAATGCCCATCGACCGACGAATGGATAAAGAAGATATGGTACATATATACAATGGAATATTACTCAGCCATAAAAAGGAATGAAATTGGGTCATTTGTAGAGACGTGGATGGATCTAGAGACTGTCAAACATAGTGAAGTAAGTCAGAAAGAGAAAAACAAATATTGTATATTAACGCATATATATGGAACCTAGAACAACGGTACAGATGAACCAGTTTTCAGGGCAGAAATAGAGACACAGATGTGGAGAACAAATGTATGGACACCAATGGGGGAAAGTGGCGGGGGTGGTGGTGGTGGTGGGATGAATTGGGAGATTGGGATTGACATGTATACACTAATATGTATAGAATGGATAACTAATAAGAACCTGCTGTATAAAAAATAAATAAAATAAAAAAAAATTGTTGACCAGAAGAAAAAAAAAAGTCCTACCCTTAACTCAATACTTCCACTTCAAGAATTTATCCTGCAGAAACCATCAAATGCACAACAGGTGTGCAAGAATGCTTAGCATGGTGTTATTTATATTAATGAAAAATTAGAAACAACACTGATGTCCCAAATTATAGGAGGTTAATGGAGTAAGTTGTGATACAAACACTGGAATACTATCTAGCCATTAAAATAGTTTTGAAAAGGGATATTTGAAAACACAAGGAAAGGATCATAACAAATAAGTTTTTTTAAAAAAATGTAAAGAATAACACAAAAATATACTGGAAAGCTATATTAGGAAAAAACACACCAAAACATTAACAAAATATCTTTGGTAACTCTTATTGTATAATCATCTTAGCATTCCAAAAAAAAACACAGAGAAAGTCCTTAGACTATGGACCATTTCAAGTGCCCAATTTTACAGATCCTCAGCGATTACTCAGTATAATAATTAGTATACTAAATTAACAGTATCATTTAGATGTCATTAAAGATTATTTACAAAGTTTCAGGAAAGTTCCTGCCCACTTGAAGTCTAATACACATTCATTTCCATAAATCCGTAGGGGCATCTTTTATAGGATTCAGCTTCAGCTATTGCTGACGGCCAAGTCTAGGGTGTTGATCTTGACTGCTCAGGATGCCCATGCCTCCTGTTCTCTTTCCACAAGCTGCCCCGACATCCATCCATGGCTGGCCTGGCCTGGCCATTCTCCACCCCACAGCCTCCTCTCCGATCTTCCTGTCCTCAGCTCCTCCCTGACTTGCTCGCCACCCGCATGCAACCTTCATGTCAATTCCTGATAAGTAGCCATAAAACATCTCCAATGTCTTCCCATTATCCAACAATAAATAATTAAGTAAGAATGATCCACTAATGAAGAATTCCAGGTCCTCCACAGTACCTCCAAGTGCATCTCTGTTCCTCCCACTGTGCACCTCACCCCCAGGCAGGCAGACCCCTGGCTGCCTTGCATTTACATCATGCTTATCCCTAATCCCAGACCCCAGCTCCTACGTCTCATCAGGTCTCCCTTTCCCTGTCTCTCTACACATAACTCTGTCACTAGGTCAAGGTTTCCACCTACCACTACACACCCCAATCTAGATGTCAGGAAGGCAGGTATTTTTATTTCAGGTTAAAATAGGTCCCTTTTAGTCAATTATCACACTTTTAAGTAGACAGATAACTCAGTTCCTGGCAAAGCCACATTTACGGTGGCTAAACCAGAGCTGTTGGAATACCACCTCCCACCTGACTTTGTTATAATAGGGAGACAGACGAGGACTCTCTGGCATCGATCAAGTTTTCTCTGTCATGGGCACAGGTACCTGCATTTGTCCATGAGCATCCTTCATGCAGACCTCACCTCCCAACACAGAAAGAAAACGCTTCACCTTGGCATTGTTTTTGTGTTTTTTTTGCAGTACACGGGCCTCTCACTGTTGTGGCCTCTCCCGTTGCGGAGCACAGGCTCCGGACGCGCAGGCTCAGAGGCCATGGCTCACGGGCCTAGCTGCTCCGCGGCATGTGGGATCTTCCCATACCGGGGCACGAACCCGTGTCCTCTGCATCAGCAGGTGGACTCTCAACCACTGCGCTACCAGAGAAGTCCACTGGCATTGGTTTTTAAACCGTGACCAGAGGACATCCCAGACCAGGGACATGCATTAACTCTAATCTCATCAAACGTTTTCCATCCAAAATATATCACCACATCCTGAAAAATTCAAGAGTCTCTTACATGTCACATTCATCTCACTGTGAGCAGGCTAATAGTTGAAAAAGTTTTCAAAATGCCCTACTGCGAAAATTTCCTATTTCTTGTCAAAAGTGACAAGGAACAAAGAGTCTCAATCACTGATCACACTCATTCATTTTACGGACAAATTACTTACTTGGGAATGATTGCTCGAGGTCTCGATTTTCTCCTGAGATTTGTCTCTGGCTAGTCTGGCAGCTTCTTTCACCTCCTGGAATTTCTCTGCAAACTGAATATGAAGAATTATTAGGGATTTCCTTAACCTTACACATGGCTGATACTCAGAACCTACCTTTATTATTTTGCATTCATTTTAAGCCAATAAATCCTGTATAAATCCAGAAGAAGGATTTTATTCGAGATTAAAAGGAAATGAATATAATGAATGCTTTTTCCAAAAAAACCCACTATTGGCCAAGGTCAGATCTGAACGAATTTCTAAGATACTGAAGCTAGATTTGATGGCAAAATATTAAAAACACATACTTCTGGCTAACAGCACCTAAAACAAATGCAACAAAAGAAATTTAGCTATAGTGCAAAAGGAATCCACGAAAAACTTCATAATCCCTATTGAAAGATCCAAGAACTCTTACAAGTCAATGTCATGAAAAACAAAAACATCCAAAAAGTTGAGAAGGAACAGTCCTAGATTTTTTTTTTTCTTTTTTTTTTTTCAGTGCGTGGGCCTCACACTGTTGTGGCCTCTCCCTGTTGTGGCCTCTCCCGTTGCGGAGCACAGGCTCCAGACACGCAGGCTCAGCGGTCATGGCTCACGGGCCCAGCCGCTCCGCGGCATGTGGGATCCTCCCAGACCAGGGCACGAACCCGTGTCCCCTGCATCGGCAGGTGGACTCTCAACCACTGCGCCACCAGGGAAGCCCAGTCCTAGATTTTAAAAGCCTAAGATATAAAATAGCAAAATGCAACGTGTAGCCTAGGACTGAGTCCTCTTTTGAACAGACCAAGTAGAAGACTTCTGGGCAAAAAGGTGGGAAATGTGAGCATGGACTGGATAAGATGACACCAAGGAGTTACTTTCTTTTCCTTCCTTCCTTCCTTCCTTCCTTCCTTCCTTCCTTCCTTCCTTCCTTCCTCCCTTCCTCCCTTCCTCCCTCCCTCCCTCCCTCCCTCCCTCCCTCCCTCCCTCCCTCC